GGAGGGAGGGAGGGAGGGAGGGAGGGAGGGAGGGAGGGAGGGAGGAAGGAAGGAAGGAAGGAAGGAAGGAAGGTAGGTAGGTAGGTAGGTGTAAATTTTTAATGTGAACTGAATGAAGAGAAGAAACAGACAAAACTCTTAAATTTAGCATTTTTAAAAAATGGCCACTACCAGGCCTTGAGCTGTTCAGAACCAGGCCACAGAAGTGACGGGTGAGTGTGTCCGTGAGCATCCCTACTTGTGTGGGCGGGTGGGTTCATATGTCCACTGTTCACACAGAACCATCCCCTCTCTTCCCCTGCTGGTCTGCAAAGCTGGAAAGATTGGGGAATTCTGCCTTAGAGGAATAAGGTACACTCTTGAGATGACCTATGGATCTGCTTAGAACAAGCAACAGAGGAGACAAGGAAGTAAGAAATTCTTATAAGAAATACTGATAATATTCTCATCTTAGTAGAGAAAAGTGCTGGAAGGACAGTCCAGCAAATAATTTATTCTTTCTAATAATGCTAGTAAATTTGAAGGGATCCAGGGGATTGGAGATAATGAACATGACAGTTTAAAGTACATTTCTGAAGTTTATTGAGCATTATAGCCTTGCTTGCGAAAATCACACTGTCTTACCTTAATACAACAATTAAATTAAAATCAGTAGTTGCTCTATATGGAGGTATTTTTCTTGCAGATCTTTCAGAAATGAATCAACAAATGGATGGGGGCATAAATGAATGAAGGGGAGACTTTGATGGTTTTCTTCTCAGTATTTCCCCCTCCCTCAGTCCCTTTTTATAATAAAACATGAGAGGCTGACTGTGGAAGACGAGTTATAGCTTTCCTCTGTGAGGAAAGGTACACTGCATGTGCATAGTGGCCTTTTATCCATTTTTCAATTCAGCCCCGTCACTTATTATCTGTTCTAGAGAGACACCCTGAAGAGTTATGATTCTAATTTAGCTCAATTTACAACTGGGTACCTCTTTCAGCTCTACCTTAATTCCTTTAATTGCTAACATTATCAGACAAACATATTAATTTATAATTTCTGTTGGTATAAACACTTACATCCTTGAGAAATTTAGGGGCTAAAATTATCGTAAACTGCTTTCTTGTTTGCTGAAAGGGGACAGGTTGGGAAACACACCACAAGAAAATCTACAAGGCATTTCAGTTTTCCCCTTACCAGAATGACTGCTAAAACCTTTTGAATTTAGAGGATTATACTGCCTGAGCAATCCCTGAATTTTTCTTAGCAAGATGGCAGAAAGTGGTTTGTCATTGCCTTCTTCCATGGCCCAAGTCACCCAGCTGCCTTTATGCCTAATTATGGGTTTAGAATTCATGTTTCTATCCTGATCTCTTAAATTTAGAGGATTACATTGAGCTATTTCCCCTTAATATTCCAATCTTTGCACCAATTGATACAAACAAGGTTATCTGTGAGTCAGATGAGTGGGTGGTATAGAAACATGAATAAACAAACAAAAAAAACAGAATAACTTGTCACTGGTGTCTTTATTTTGCTTTAGTATTAGTCTCTCTCCATGTCTTCCCTTTTTCCTTTCTTCACATAAATTGTAATTTTAAAAACTGCCTAACATGTGCTCTCGGGATTATAAATTATAATCCCAACAGCACATGTTAGTCAATTTTACGAAGTGGCAACTTCTGTCTATTCTCATCATAGCCACAATGATGGACATTGAGCACCTATTAAACAAAGAACAGAAAAAGTTGCTTTCTTCCATCTCTTAGTCATCAGGATATTCCTCTCTAACCCACAGCTGGTCTGTGTCCTGGGGGGAGCAGGGCAGATGACATGCTTTTGAATTATTGGGCTGTAGCCACTCACCATTTTTATTTTCTAAGAATACCTACAGAGTCAATTCCATAAGATAATAAAATAACTTAAAAGTATAGTTTTGGAATACTGAAGGCACAACCTGGGATGTCTGAGAACTACAGCTGAGATATTTCCCCCCCTTCAGGGTCTGCATGTAGCATTAGACAGTGGATTTGAGGAAACACTATAACACATATAGAAAACTTATCCTTGGTGAAGGAAAGATACACATAACCTAACTGACCTCAGCTGGAAAAAAAACCCTGCGCTCTTTCTATCCCACACAATCAACAAGACCTTTGGAGACAATCAGAGATAAAGCTCACCAGATCTGGAAAAATACTGAGCTATATGGATTATGAGACTGCCTTAAGGCATCTTTACAGTCTGACTTTCACATATTGTGATTATCTTAAAGTATTTCTGTTGTTAAGAGATGTAAAGCAGATTATAAATTGAGGTCCCTCTGATTGCAGTACCTGCTTGTTGAATTCCCTGCATATGGAACCTCACCCAAGCATCTCCCTCTTCACACGAATACTATACACACCAAGTGAAGACCTCTTTTTCAGAGTGCCCTTACATTTTTAAGTCTACCCTATAGACAGCCATCCGCTGACCGCAGGAGATTTCTAATAAGTAACATTTGTTTTGCGTAGTGAGAATGATGCTTGCCATTTACTTTTTTCTGCTGGGAAATGTGTGGGGGCAGAAGAGGTGGGGGATGATGGGAGAAAGAAAACACGAGCAAAATATTACCATAAAAATACCCAAATGCTGAATTTTTTCAAAAGGCTGAATCAAAAATGAGTGGAGGAGCTGAAGCTGAAAGGAGGGAGGGGTGGGGGAGAAGAAACAAAGAACGGTTTCTTCCCGTCAAAAGAAACATTCCAAATAGAGCTTTATGAGAAGAGATGGCAATGGTTAAACAGTTGTGTGGCGTTTATTTTTCAAAGTTAGAAACCGTCTTAGACTCTCAGTAGCTTCTTGCCCAGCTGTTTTTGTTCTTGGAAAACTACAGAGAACATTCCATTCCATTCCACTCTACTCCACCAAACCTGCACTTCCGGCACACGCTTGGACACTGGAGCCAACTCTTGCAGATTCTCTCTCTCTCTCCCTCCCTCCCTCCCNTTGTTGGGGGCAATATGCTGACTCTCTGTAAACCGCTTAGAGAGGCCTGAAAGGCCTATGAAGCGGTATATAAGTCTACTGCTATTGCTATTAAAAAAAATGACACAGGAAGGAGCCTAAAAAGATGGACTGAATTCTGTAGGAGGACCTGCCCATTTCTGCTCTGGTGCCATGACTGTCAGATAACATCCCTGATGGTTGGTGATACACAGAAGAGAAAGGACAGCAAAGCCAGATCCTTACTTGCTTATCATGCACCCCACATGACCCTCCTGTCCAGCAGTGCATCAAAACAGACAGGTGAAAGGCAGAATAAAGGTTGGCCATGGAAACAGCAAATGTTGTTCTAATATAGTGGTTTTGTTTGTTTGTTTGCCAACTTAAGGATGGATAGATAGCACTTTAGCTCAATGATTTACCCCATAATGATGCAAGTTGGAACTAACATCACACTAATGAACCCCATGCAGTGATTTTTGGGGGGAAATTATAAAAAAATCACCAAGTGTGAAGAGCAACAAAGAAAAGAGTTTTCTGAAAAGTTTCAACATGCATCAGGAGCTGATAGTGGGAATGAATTACAACTCTCTATATAGTATGCCCATAGAACACAATGGAGAAGACTGAAATTAAATCAGCCTTCAGTTATTTCTATGGGAAACTCTTACCAAAGCTGTAATCTAACCCCGAGTTAGGTCTGGGTGTTTGCTGTAAAAGCTGTACTTGTCCTCTTTAAAAGCTATATTTACATATTGTCAAGTACAGTACCAAATGTAACAGACTAAACATTGCTAACCTGCTTTGCCCATTTTCCCTTCTTTGCATAAATCCTTCAGCCTGGAACCCAACTCTGTGATGAAGCTTGCTTAGCACCAGTGAAGTTTCCCACATTCAGTGTAACAACATTCTGGGCTGAGATGAGGGAATCAAAATTAAAATCCAATCCATCTGCATCCATGAGTTCACTGCGGATAATGGACTCCATATCGCATTCCAAGCTCCCATTGAAAATATCCAGATCCAAATCACTGGGGAATTTATCGTGCCCCATGACTGGAAGGCTCACGCTGTTGGCATACAAAGAAGAGCCTGAGAGGGAGTCAGAAAGTGATTGCATAGACTGGTTGGCAGGTGGCTGTTGCTGGTGTTTTGCTGATCCAAGGTTGGTGTCACTTAAGCCCATAGTACCGGCAGAATTTGACAAGGCACGGCTGCCACTGAGAGAGGAATTCTGGGATTGATGCTGGTGGTGGAGCAGGTTCTGATTGGTCAAAGAGCTCTGACTTGGTTGAGCAGCAAACGACATCATTGGATCATTCCGAAGCATAATATTCCTGCGGGCGTTTTGGGCAGATACAGCGGTGCTAGCTTGTGACATGAGTGGATCAGATTGAGTCATCATGACATCGCTGTGGCTATGTGAATCCGAAGCCAGCAGATCCTGCAGAGTTTGGTTATTGTAGTGTGAAATGGAAGAAAATGTAGCTTGCTTGTTCTCTTGGATGGTTTGCATGGGAGACTGACGGAGAGAAGTCAGAGATGATGGTCCAAACACAGCATTGTTGAAACTACTGGATGGAGAACCAAGCCCTGAACCTTTGGAGCCGTATGGAAAGCTTGAGTTTCTCTGCATGAGACCTCCTGTGGGTGACTGCTGGGAAGAGGGAAGGGTTATATTGTCCAGGAGGTCATCCATAAGATTATCTGTCAAGCCATCATTCAAGTTCATTGTGCCTGCCATGTCAGTCAACCTAGGCAGCTCAACGTTACAGGGCTTGCTCACTGATGGGGACATGCTGGGTGAGCTACTGTACAACATGGGAGAAAGGGGAGCATCATCATCGTGCACCTCATCTACCTCAGTGCTTGCCAATATTGGGGACAAGCGGCCACTTATTGTACTGGCATTCGAGTTGGTACGAGACCGGAAATCTGTCCACGCATCCAGTTCATCACTGCTACGGGAGGTTGGGCTACCAGGCCACTTGGATAGTTGGGTGGGGCTGTCGTCACTTGTCTCCTGGGCAACTTGAAGGGCTGCTTTTTTCTTAGCTGCTCGTCCTCGGCTCTTTGTGTATTTGTTGCTGTTGTCCATCGATACAGCCCGTCTGCGTGGCGCTTTCCCTCCTTTCCCACCATCGGGGTTGATCATCCACCACGAGCTTTTCCCAGTTCCTTCATTCTGTACCCTGATGAATCGACTGTGAAGGGACAAGTTGTGTCTGATTGAGTTCTGCAAAGACAACACACAAAATCCCCCAAATTTAGAATATGTCAAGTAAATGATGTTATTCAATATAATACTTAAGACATAAAAAACATAAAGAAAAAAGTGTCCATTATTGCTAAAAGTCTGCAGATATTCTCAGTCATTCAGGTCATGGTTGTCCCAAAGGTGCTTTTTCAGGAGGCAACTGGACTTTCTGGTTTTTTCTTTGAAGACATTTTACTTCTCATCCAAGAAGCTTCTTCAGTTCTGACAGGATCCTGTCAGAGCTGAAGAAGTTTCTTGCATGAGAAGTGAAAGAAAGTTTAGGTGCCTCCTGAAAAAGCACCTTTGGGACTTCCATTATTGCTATTACTTTTCTAGTTTTTAATAAATTGTTCAGACACTAGATAAATATAGACTTTAGAAGGAATCATGATAAAATTCAAGATATTTCTCCATGGCATGAATATAATGAACCCTTTCCTGAGAAAGAAAGCATCATTTAGTACTGATGCTACTGTTGTAAGCACATAGCTTTGGTGATTTAGTGCACTTTTCTAAACAAATTCATTTAAATTATGTTCATTAGCTTAAAGAGAATCTCTATTTTTTATTTTAAAAGCCTCCCATTAAAATAGTTGCCAAAGTAATCAGATGCATAGAAAATCAAGATAATTAATATAGATATTCTATGATCCTAACCACTTATAGTCAAGAACCAGTTCTGCAACTTACTTATTTCTAAATCATAGTGTACAAACTGAAAACGCAAAGTAAAACCTGTCTGACATGTTGTAACCTAATGATCTTCTGTAAATAGCAACAATTATGTTTATGACTTTTTTTTCCCTCATCTTCCCTTTTCCTTTCGTAGTGTCTGAGCAAACTAACTTGGTTAATATTCTACTCTGAGCCATTGCTGTAAGTTTCCAAAGAGAAAAACAACTATATATAATATAGCACAGTCACCAACTGTGTGGTTTTTACTAGTGGATATGAAAGAGTTGAGCAAACCAAATTCTAGTCAATTGCTCTAAGAAATGCAACAAGTCACAACACTACTGACATGAGAAATCCCATTGCCCCCAAATCAGCATGCCATTTAGAGTCATAATAGAATGAACTCATGGTTGCAAGAGACATGTGCAGCTAAGTCTATTTCCAGCCATTCCATTGAGATGTACTTTAGGTTTATAGTAATATAAAAAAAAAGTGGCAGGGGGAGGACTTCCAGGTAAGGCTTTTATTGTCAAAATATCAAACCACATTCTCAGAATTTTTCAGAGAACTGACTGAATAAATCTTCCAATAATAAATCTCCTGCATGTTCCCACCATTTCTTCTAGCTATTTTAATTACCATGTCAGAAAATAAATAAATAAAGGGAAAGGCAGAATAAGCTGGGAAAGATGGCAAAGGGAGAATGCCTTGTGGTTGTTACTACTACAACCCTCTGTCTGGACACACCCAAAGGAAGATGAGACTGGTAGGATTACAGCCTATATAGTCCAAATATAGTCCAATTGTGCAAAGGAAAGCTAGTTCTTTACAAAGCACAGATGCCTAGGCGAAGCGTCTCTTTTCAGATTGCTAAAGCAGCCATGTCATTTTCAAGTCCTGGGTGGCTGCTTCCAAAGTTGGTCCTTGTTACTTTAACAATTAAAATGAGCAGCTTTGTACTGTGCGTGTCAAAACCTTAAAAGTATTTTGGAGATAATAATCTTGAGGAAACCACAGTGACCTGGTCTCTTTAAATGTGAGGAGGTACTTAAAAACTACTGGCAGATGTGGATCATATCCATGTGGAAAAGTGAAATGCTTTTAAAAACATGTTTTGAAAACAGGATAGTAAGAATTCACAAATTGCTGATTTTTTTTAAAAAAACACTATTTTATAATGTACAACGGGGTTTGTCATTCAAGCTTGATGATTCACATTGGCATCGCTACATCTGAAATAAAGAAGCAGGATGACATTAAGTTAATGAAAAACATCTGGGGTGTGCAAAGACATGCAGTCTACGTGCTTTTTATTCATCGTTTAAGTACATAAAAATGTTTTGTCTAAGTCCAGGTCCAGTAAAGGAAAAAAAAAAGTAATATTCAAAGCCAGGGTTTTCTCCCTTGATCACAGCAGATATATACTGTTGTCTGCCTAGAATTGTTTTTTCATGAGATGGGCAGCCACATAAATTTGACAAACAAATAAATGAAATAAACTATCACTTCAAGCAAATATAAATACATACCAAATGCCACTCTCCCTTTGTAAGTATAAACACACGTCTTTAATAAAGTAAAAACTCTGGAGTGTTTTCTTTTCACTTTGCCAGTTTATGGTTTTGATTCCAAGCACTGCAAATACTCTAAAGGGTGCATACAGATTTTCTATGAGTGAGGTTTTTTTTTTATCAGAAGAATTATAGCCCTCCTGTGTACCTCCTCCATTTATGTGTAAGCTCTCAAAATCTTTCAGTCGTCTGTAGTACGTTATAATATTAAAAACAATAAAAGTAATAATAATCATCTGTGCATTGGATCAGAGTGATTTACACTGCACAGAGTTTGATGAAAATTTTATACAATTTACTGAATTTTGGAGCATTAATGCAACCGCGTGTCAAAGTGTCAGTCAGGCTTTTACCCAACAAATATTCAGATTAAGACACAGTTCAAATGCGTTTAGCCTGAGTGACAAAAAGCAAGCTATTACAACTGTAAGACTTGAGCTTTACCTAAAGCCAAACCCCCTATCTATCAAATCTTGTGTTTTGGTCATGGGTACACCACCTTTTCTCAGTGGCAGAAGAAACTAACACCTTATTGTAATAGACCAGTTCAATTTTAGAAACTTTGGTTATGGTTTTGTTCAATTTTTTCCTCACACCAAAGTAGCTAGTAATTTAAAAAAACCACTTCATATTCATTTTCTTACCTCACAGCAATTGTTAATTATGTTGTTTCTTGCTGATGGGCAATTCTAAGTGATTGTTGAATGAATTAGTTTCTTAAAACTAATGTACACTGCTTACTGAAAACCAATCTGTGTAAATTTGAATGAACACTAGTAGTTCCCTCTCAAGCTAAATATCGCCTCCACTATCTCATATAAGGTTCCTGCATCTCAACATTCAAATGCAACATTCCATCCTGGGATCAAACCTGTCCCAAAGATCAAAAGTACCAGGGATCCCTCTCCACCATGCTTCCAGGAACGGTGTGTTTAGTATAACTTCTAGGGCCAATGGGCACATATTGTGTTATGTCAACAACAGCCACCAAGCCACCTGAGCAATTCTGGGACCTTCAGTTCCTCTCAAAAATTGTCACTGGCATAGAGAGGAATGCTCTACTCGCACCAATGAAGATTTCCTTTGAAATATAAACTGAAACTTTGCAGAAGAAATATTAACAAAATGGTAGCAAAAAGAGAAAGTTATATATGTCAATTATACATGTTATAAGCTGTGGTGGTGCAGTGGTTAGAATGCAGTATTGCAGGCTAATTCTGCCGACTGACAGCAGTTTGATTCTGACTAGCTCAAGGTTGACTCAGCCTTCCATCCCTCCGAGGTCAGTAAAATGAGGATTGTTGGGGGCAATATGCTGACTCTGTAAATCCCTTAAAGAGGGCTGTAAAGCACTGTGAAGTGGTATATAAGACTAAGTGCTATTGCTACTGTGTTTCCCCGAAAATAAAACAGGGTTTTATTTTCTTTTGACCCCTGAAATAAGTGCTTAGCCTTAGTTTTGGGGAAGTCTTATTATTTTTGAGGTGCAGGAGGCAGCGAGCATGATCACATCATGGCTGCTGAAGTGTTGCAATATTTTTGGGCAGGACTTTTTTTTAGAGGAGGCCTTATTTTAGCACATGCGCTCAAAAGCCCGATTGGGCTTATTATCCAGGTAGGTCTTATTTTCAGGGAAACAGAATAATTACATTCCCACAGAAAACGTCTGTCCATTCTCCCAAGCATCAGGAACACTCCTTAGTGGAATTAGCCTATCCTGTTACAAATAATGAAATGTATGCACTTGCATATGCTTTGCCGTGCTCGTTCATAAGTTTTATAAGGACAGTGGAAGACTGTTTACAGTTTTGCTGACTCAATCAGAACCACTGTTTCTCATATTTCAGAATTCTATTTGCAAGTGTTTCACTTGTTTGTTCCTTATTTCTTTAGTTTAGGAACATTGGCAGATCCTTTTCTACAAAAATTTCCCCACTCTTCTGAGCTCAGTTTCTGTTTCAGTCTCTTCCATGCTGTGTTTACCTTATGGGACTTGCCCATTAATTCAGACACCAGCTGCATGCACCTCGCCTGGAGTACAGAGGCTTTTTGTCTGGAAAGGACATGTGGTATCAATTTATCACTCTCCACAACACAACAAGGAATCCATTTGCTGGGGGGGGGGAGGGAAGAACTGTGTGACTTCTCTTAAAAGCACCCCCACCCAATATTTTTAAAAATAAACCTACAGATTAGCAAGATGAGATACAGCTGGTGGATATGGGATCCTTGTTATATGATTGACTCTGTAAATTTAATACCCCAGTCCATTTGCAATGCAAAATAAAGAGTTCCAGTATGCTGTATATTCTTCAACTAGATACAAACAATTAAAATAAGCCTTGCAACATATCTTTTCACAATACATGATTTGGAAGTGATTAACAGCAGCAGCTTCTGATTAGTTACTCTAAGTGCTTGTTTTAGCCTCCTTGAATGGCTTTCTGAGCAGGGCAAGCAGGGGTAAAAATAACCTAGAAGCACTGAAAAAATTCTCTACTGGGGTTGTATTCTAAATGCATTGTGCAAACGGTATGCATCTTTATTATGGAAAATATGTTACTCATATATGTATGTATGTATGTGTGTGTGTGTGTGTGTGTGTGTGTGTGTGTGTGTGTGTG